TTTTTTTTTTTTCACAAAGATCCCACGCCTTTAGTTTTTATTTGTTTGGTTTTAGTTGCATACTGTGGTTGCTACTATTGTGGCCTTCTGTTTTGGAATTCTGTAGGCCTGTGAATTCTGCCTGTTGGGAAGACTTTACCTTTTCCTGATATTTCTCTGTGCTGGAGAGTTGTCTTTAACAAAGTCCTGAGCAGTTGATAATGCTTTCAAACCTATGCCTTCAGGGTTCTCTACCACAGGGTGCTCCCTAACACCTTGCTTTCCCTCACCTTGAGTTGTCCAAGCCTTGAGTAAATTATGCTATGTCATAAACCACAGAAACATTCTTTCCTGCTACTTTTTTCTTCTGCAGCTGGCGTATATATGCTGTTTGTGTATTATTTTTCACTGTTCCCTAATCCATTTTAATTTGGGCCTTTGGAATTTAGAAATTTTAACCTACATCTTGATTGGAGCCATTTTTTTTTTCTTTAGCATTGGCAAGTCAAATACAGCTTACCACATCAGTATATTTTTGTTCCTCATTTCCTTTCTTTGCCTGTGGGCCCAGATGTTTGTTCTGCTAACATACTTGTCATTTGTTGTCACATAGTGAGAGAGATGAAGTCAATAAAGTCTGGATTTGCTTAAGGAATCTATTGACTGGTTAACCCCTGCTACCTTCATCTCTCTGAAGAGGGTAATTCTATGCAAGTGGTGTATATACTCCTCAGTCCAGTGTTTCACTCAGATGTACACTCATTTTGCTTTGCTCCCACCTGGCTGCTTCTTTAGTGAGTATCATCTTTCTTGCCTCTTAGGCCCTAGCCTTATATAGAATAGCCACTCCATGATTATCTTTGATGTGGTTGAGTAGCTCATAGCTTTGTGGAATGAGAAGCATGTCCTATATTTAAAAATTCTTTTCATAGGGGAATGCCTGGGTGGCTCAGTTGGTTAAGCTTCTGTCGGCTCAGGTCATGATCTCATGGTCCGTGAGTTCGAGCCCCGTGTCAGGCTCTGCCCTGACAGCTCAGAGCCTGGAGCCTGCTTCGGATTCTGTGTCTCCCTTTCTCTCTGCCCCTTCCCTGTTCGTGCTCTGTCTCTCTCTCTCAAAAATAAACATTAAAAAAAAAAATTAAGGGTGCCTGGGTGCCTCAGTTAAGCGTTCTACTTCAGTTCAGGTCATGATCTCCTGGTTCATGGGTTCAAGGCCCATGTTGGACTCTGTGCTGACAGCTCAGAGCCTGGAGCCTATTTCAGATTCTGTGTCTCCCTCTCTCACTGCCCCTCACCTGCTGGTGCTGTCTCTCTCTCTCTTTCTCTCTCTCTCAAAAAAAATAAATAAAACATTAATAAAAAAAAAAGAAAAAACTTTTTTTCACAGGTCTTTACTCCTTGTGAAGGCAGCCATCATTATGTTCCTTCTAGAAAGTTGGTAGTCACAGGGCCTGGTACTTGTCTCAGATATCCAGGTGATTTACTTGAGTTTGAGTTTTGTTATAATGAAGGTATAAAATGTAATGTAGTTGAGTCTAAAGTTATTCTAAGGACACATTTTAAGAAAACATTAGCAACACAAACTGTTTACAAAAAGATGTAGAAATTGGGGAATGAGGATGTGATCAAAATGTTATAGTGTTACTATATATGAAGAAAGGGTGCTTAAGACAAAAATGTTTTAGTGAGTATAATAGACTTATTTAAGCCACTATCCACATACTGTGAGAGAGGAGCATAAGAAAGTTAAGAGGATAACAAATAATGTTTATTGCAACAGTATAACCCCAGCAGTAGAAGTTATGATATTCTATTTGATGGAATATTAAGTGCCCTTTAAAAAGAACTATGAATCATGTAGAAACAGAGAAGTGTTTAAGATACTTCTGTATTTTACCATTTTCATTTAACATTATTTAACTAAAACTTGTAATTAAACTTGTAAACAAAATATGTTACATATAGAGGAACTGGACAGAATATACATAAATAATTGTTATTCTAAATTAATTTTATTTTGTGTATGAATTATTAAAACAAATTTGATATACTTTGATGATTTACCTAGAATTGAAAATTCACTCTAGGTCTTTTTTCTTTTCCCAGTTCTCAAGACCAGGAAGGACCTCTTTTATTTAAGTGAGGGTCTTAGGAGGGAGGTCAGTGAGCTTGGAAGGAGGACAGGCCTTGGAAAGATGCTAGAGAGAAGGGAGAACTTTAAGGAAGTTAACCTAAGGTTCTTGGAGGCAAGGAGGGAAGACCAGGAGGTAAGAGAACAAATAAGAATGGAAGCTACAAATCACTGAGGGCTAAGCCTTCTTACAGTTTCACGCGAAGCTCTGGCTATTGGCTATCTCCATTGTGCCGGTGAAAATACTTGGGTGTTTTAACACAGCTATTGAGTCTTGCACTGGCGTATTGGTCAGTCATATTATCTAAAAGAAGTATTTGTGAACCAACTTAGGGTTCAACTATATAGTGTAAATGTTATTTCTTTTTGTTACAAAGTTTAAATTGCATTAATAGGAAGTTGATTATTTGAAAACAGGAATTGATATTTTGGTGAATAATGCCAGTGCCATTAGCTTGACCAACACATTGGAAACGCCTATGAAGAGAGTGGATTTGATGATGAATGTCAACACCAGAGGCACCTATCTGACGTAAGTTAGAGTTGTTGGGGAGAACATTGCAATGTTTTCTCAGAGAACTAGTTGTAAACAGATTTGAACCAGATCAGCAATACAATTTAAAACCTAGTCACTTGTTACAAAGGCGTAAAAGTGCTCCAAGCTGGTAGATGGTATTTTAAACAGTTTTATTCAGAGCTCCTTTTCTCTGTGAATCTAATAAAGTCTAAAGTATAGCCCAAGCATTTTCAAACATTTGCATGAATAAATATATACATGGATACCAAGTCTTCTGATTATTCAAGCTAGCAATCACCTTTCCTTCCTCTGAAAAACCCGAGGTTTTAGTTATATAAGTAAGAAGAAGCCTGTTAAGACTTACATTTTTTTTCATTTTTATTAAATTTTTAATTTTAATTCCAGTATAGTTAACATAGAGTGTTATATTTATTAGCTTCAGGTGTCTGTGAATCACATTTTATGTAACAAAGGCTAATGCTATCTTGGGGATTATCAGGGGCAATACAAAATACAGAATGAAAGCAAATGTAGTCATGATCTGTTCTGGATGGGTCAGACAGCCCACTCTTGTTTGTTCCTTTTTTTTCTGTTTATTTACCCTCAGGTTCTACCATTTTTTTTTCATGTGGACACAAGGATAGATCAATATAGAACTTGTTGGTCTGCCTTCTAGGTGTCTCATAAGTATCTGCCTTACATGTACACACAAAATAGGTTGTTAGGACCTTGGGCTTTGGCGTTAGACTCCTTTGAGTAGGATTCAAGTCCTACTTCCCACCCTTTCTGATGTGCTATATCATAACTTTGTGCAAGCAACTTCTTGCAGATTCTGTTTCCTCGTTTGTAAGACGGGGATGATAAAATCACAGGATTCGTTGTGAGGGTTGAACGTAAAGTTTGTTAATAGTCTTGAACTTTTCTCTCAGATGTGTTTTGTTGGGTATGCAAAACTAGGCCTTGACCATTTTAAAAAGTTTGTTTTTACTAGCTACTTTGCTAGTTCAGAATTTTATTAGTTGCCTATATGAAAAAGATTAGATTTACACAAAGATCCAGATTTCTGGCTTTTTATTGAAGCATTAGAAAATGTGGCCACAGCATACTCATGTGGCAACCTTGAGCTGCTGTAACTGAGTGAGAGTATTAGCTGCCTCAGTAGATGGCATGAGTCTGCTGTCTTTTGGATGCTGAGGACAGGCTTAAAGGTTGCCATTTTTATTGTTGTACTTGCCTTGCTGTTTTTCTTAAAGAGGGAAATAAAATATTTCTCATACCCATGTGTCTGTCTAAAGTGGGAAAATGAAACATATGCCAGGAGGACCATATGTTGAAAAAAAATGCATTAGAGTTTACTACTTTGTGGATGTGGCACATATTTCTGTAAATTCAATATGTAAGATATTATCTCTCTTGAATGGAAAGTGTAGTGAATCAAATCCTAGTAAGAACTATGGCAAAGATATAGAAGAGATTGTGGTGAAAAACTTAATGAACTAGAAAAAGGACTAACATTTCAATAGGATTTGTGTTTATTTTCAGCTAAAATTAGCATTGCAGCTCTGTGATGTAGTCATATGTTACATGAAGAAATTATCTGGGCATCAAAATCTTTTACAGATGGTAACTTTGTGAAAGAATTTTGATTAAATATAAACATTCATTTAAAAAGCATTTAGAAAGTATAATCTAACCAGGAATACTGTTGCTCAGCATGTTGAATTAAGGCTTAGAAGGAAACGATTTGTGAAAAGTTAAATCATTTGTGGCAGTTTCAATTGTAGACGATGAAGCCACAGATATAAATACTCCACTCACCAAATTTTATTTATTTAAGGGATCAAGAGAATTTTGAGGTGATTAAGATTTTTTTAGACTAGTATCCATGACATGAGCATGGAAATGACTTGTTAAGTGTTGAGAAACATCTTAGGAAGTTTAATATAGATTTGTCAAAATTTTAGTAACCATAACTATAGATAACGCTATTGTGATGGTCATTGTTAACTTTAAGCCCGAATGGTCAGTGTTAATTTTAGACTTACTAAACTAATGTAGAAATGTTTCACAGAGATGCAGAAGATAATTTTGTTCATTGTATTATTCATTAGGAATTGCTTTTGCTAAAAAGTTTTTTTTTTATATATGAAATTTATTGACAAATTGGTTTCCATACAACACCCAGTGCTCATCCCAAAAGGTGCCTCCTCAATCACCACACCCTCTCCTCCCTCACCCCATCAACCCTCAGTTTGTTCCTCAGTTTTTTAATAGTCTCTCTTATACGCTTTCCCCCTCAACTTTTTTTTTTTTTTCCTTCCCTCCCCATGGGTTCCTGTTAATTTCTGGTCCACATAAGTGAAACCATATGGTATCTTGTCTTTCTCTGGGCTTATTTCACTTAGCATCACTCTCCAGTTCCATCCACGCTTTATACAAAATATATTTCATTTTCTCATTGCACTTAATGTAGTATTCCATTGTGTATATAAAACAATTTCTTTATCCATTCTATCAGTTGATGGACATTTGGTTCTTTCCATGGTACGGCTATTGTTGAGTGCTATTATGAACATTGAGTGCCCCTATGCATCAGTACTCCTGTATCCTGGATAAATTCCTACAGGTGTATTGTGCTGGTGGGTCAGGTCTATTTTAATTTTCGAGGAACCTCCACACTGCTTTCCAGAGCAGCTGCACCAATTTGGCATTCCCACAACAGTGCAAGAGGGTTCCGCTTTCTCCACACTCCTCCAGCATCTATAGATCCCTGATCTGTTCATTTTGCCCTGACTGGCGTGGTGATACCTAGTGTGGTTTGATTTTGTATTTCCCCTGATGAGGAGCGGCGCTTGAACATCTTTTTCATTGCCTGTTGGCCATCCGGATTATCTTCTTTAGAAAGTGTCTATTCATGTTTTCTGCCCATTTCTTCACTGGGTTATTTGTTTTTGGTGTGGGGTTGGTGAGCTCTTTATAGATTTTGGATCAGCCCTTTGTCCGATATGTCATTTGTGAATATCTTTTCCCATTCCGTTGGTTGCCTTTTAGTTTTGTTGGTTGTTTCCTTTGCTGTGCAGAAGCTTTTTATCTTCATAAGGTCCCATATTCACTTTTGCTTTTAATTCCCTTGCCTTGGGGGATGTGTCGAGTAAGAGATTGCTACGGCTGAGGTCAGAGAGGTCTTTTCCTGCTTTCTCCTCTAAGGTTTTGATGGTTTCCTGTCTCACATCAGGTCCTTTATCCATTTTGAGTTTATTTTGTGGTGTGTGGTGGTCTAGTTTCAACCTTCTGACATGTTGTGTCCAGTTCTCCACCCATTTGTTAAAGAGGCTGTCTTTTTTCCATTGGATGTTCTTTCCTGCTTTGTCAAAGATGAGTTGGCCATACGTTTGTGGGTCTAGTTCTGGGGTTTCTATTCTATTCCATTGGTCTATGTGTCTGTTTTTGTGCCAGCTAAAAAGTTAAAAATGGACTATGTTATGAGTTTTAAGAACCACATACACTTCCACGGTTTCAACCACACAGTTAGTTAGATGCTTTACTCATGTGAGTGGGGGAAGGGCAGAGAGAGAGGCAGACACAGAATCCGAAGCAACTCCAGGCTCTGAGCTGTGAGCACAGAGCCTGACGGGGGGGCTCGAACTCACGAACTGTGAGATCATGACCTGAGCTGAAGTCGGATACTCAACCGATTGAACCACCCAGGCGCCCCTGTGCACTGTTTTAAGTACCTCATATTTATCATCTCATTTTAATCCTTTGGTCAGTCTTCGATGGTAGTAGGTGTTACCAGCATTTACAAATGAACTGAGAGTTAGAATATATTTTGCCTAAGATCACACAATGAAGAGGCAGAAAGAGGGTATGAACCCAGGTCTGCCTGACTTGCGTACCATGTTCTCTACTACAGTGCTGCCTGTGCTGGCTGGCAAATACATTAACTTACCGAAAAGTGTGTGTGTGTGTGTGTGTGTGTGTGTGTGTGTGTGTGTGTGTGTGTGTGTGTGTTGGGGAGGGAGAATTGGAAGGATGTAGTTGAGGGTAGCCTTAGTTGGATTTAAGGCTAATGTACCAGGGATTTGATTATTTTCATCAAGCAGATCATGTTACGCTAGTAAGCAAAACTTCAAAGATTGAAAATTACTGCTTTTCCTGTCTTTGTTCCAGAAAAGTGAAAACAAACAAAAAGTACACTACATTACTGAGCAAGTTTAGTTGCTTTGTAGAAGTAGTTTAAAATATAATTTTAGGGGCACCTGGGTAGCTCAATTGGTTAAGCATCCAACTTCAGCACAGGTCATGATCTCGTGGTCCGTGGGTTCAAGCCCCACATTGGGCTCTGTGCTAACAGCTCAGAGCCTGGAGCCTGCTTCCGATTCTGTCTCCCTCTCTCTCTGTCCTTCCCCTGCTCATGTTCTGTCTCTCTCTCTCTTTCTGTCTTAAGAATAAATTAAAAAAAAAATTTAAATATATAATTTTAAAAAGTGGGTAAGTTGTTAGAAAGCTGTTGACTTGTGTTTTCTTTTGCTTTCAGATCTAAAGCATGTATTCCTTATTTGAAAAAGAGTAAAATTGCGCATATCCTCAATCTCAGTCCACCACTGAACCTAAATCCATTGTGGTTCAAACAGCACTGTGGTAGGTGGTTGGTTGAGGGGATGGTTTGTTTGATTAATTTGCTTTGTATTAAGTCAGTGTATCTATGATGTGATCAAAATTTGTTCATGGCATTCAACATTAAAGTTTCTGTGCAATATTGGTAGCACTTTGGAAAGTAGATTCTTCATCTTTTATCTGTAATTTGAAACGTTGAGGTATAGTTTACATTCAATAAAATGCACAGATCTTAATGGCTCAGTTTGATGAGTTTTGACAAATGTGTATACACCTGCATAACCAATAGCCAAATCGGGATATGGATTTCCATCATTGCAGAAAGCTCCCTCCAGTCTCAGTAGGTGTGTTTTTTGTATATAACTTATTCTTCTATGAAGTTGGTTAAAAGCTATGAAGTACTTTCACTTTCACAGCAAATTAATGATTTGAGGTGTGTATGCTAACCTATAAGAATTATGTATAGGTGCTTCCTTTAATATAGTTGCATCAGATACTTAGTCCTTTTTGTACATAATTTACTAAAATTTGGACAGGCAATTGGAATAGAAACTCCCAGTAAAACTGAAAGAAGTTCAGTTTTAATTGACTAGATTAAACAAATTTGCAACTTTTTGTTCTTGTTTCACTGGCAGTATAGCCATAGAAAGAAATTGGTTATACTCACAAATTAGTCCATTAATTAAATCCTATTCTTTGTGGTTTCTTTCAGCTTACACCATTGCTAAGTATGGTATGTCTATGTGTGTGCTTGGAATGGCAGAAGAATTTAAGGGTGAAATTGCAGTCAATGCATTATGGCCTAAAACAGGTATGTACTTAAAAAAATATATCCATTTAATTAGTTTTTCATTTATTGTCCTTAACAGTTTTGAGATGCATCTTGGGTGGGTAGGTTGAGGTGGCAAACAAGTTAAACTTTTTCTTATACATACAAGGCTCTTTTCAGTCACCTTCTACCTTTGACTTGGACTACATGACTGACTTTAAAGCCAGTTACTATGCTAGAGACATAGAACATTGGGACACTTGAAGAGTTTCATTAAAGAGAGGGCCACCCGGGTGGCTCAGTCATTTCAGTGTCCCAACTCTTGATTTTGGCTCAGGTCATGATCCCAAGGTCATGGCTCAATCAGTAGAGCGTGTGACTCTTGATCTCAGGGTTCTAAGTTCAAGATCCACATTAGTCATAGTTTACTTAAAAAAAAAAAAAGAAACTAAATGCAACAGCTACTTAGGAGATTGAATTATAGCATAAAAATGTTTTCTGGATCTACACAGAGATTGTGTTTTGAATTAAAAAAAGAAAAACTGTAGTTGAAGGATTGAGTGGTCATTGTTAACACCTGAATAAGTAGCTTGGCCGTTGAAGTGTAAGAGATATCTCAAAATGCAGAGCAAAAACACTCTGAAGAAAAAGAAAATAGACTCACGGGACTTCCCATGTAAATATCAGGAGCCCCAGAAGGAGAAAACAAATAGAGGAAAAACAGTAATTTAACTAAAAATAGAAAATGGGTGCCTGGCTGGCTCAGTCAGAAGAGCATCTGACTCCTGATCTTAGGGTCATGAGTTCAAGCCCCATGTTGGGTATAGAGATTAAATAAATAAAATACATACATACATACATACATACATACAATTTAAAAAAAAGAAAAAGAAAACAATTCCCTTTAGCCAAAGACTTAAATGTGTCAGTTGAAAGGTTTACCAAGTGGGAGGCTGAATTTATGGGGG